GAGGAACAAGAATGGAAAATTAAATGGAATCTAAGTTTCAAACACAGGCAAACTGACAAAGGACAATTGAGGCAGGATAGCTAATACCCAATAAATTTGGTAACTTTCAGTCATTTAAAAATAGCATTAAAGTAGAAAATGTAGATTCGTTTCTGAGAAAGAAAAAATTAGGCTGAGAAATAATATATGGAGTGATACAATTTAAAAAGGTTTTCATTCTGTACTCAATTTTCATTCTTGTTTGTATTCTAACAAATGTACTTTTCCATATTTATATATTCTGTCTACATTCAGAACCTGCATATGTTTACTTACTGACCAGTAGAATATACACTTAAAACTTTAATAATTTTGAAACAAGTCAAATTATGTAACTGTAAGATACAGCAGATCACCAATTCACAACCATCTCTACCTTGGTTCATCTTTACATAAGTATTTGAATTATTTTTAATGTCTTTTTAGGAGTTCATAAACTATATCTAGATCTCTTCTATAATTTTCACAATTAATTGAAGTTATACCAGACCATAACTCCATGACTATTTCAAAATACCTATTCATAATTCATAAATTATCTTTATTCTTTGGCCCTTCAACTAACTGATTTGCACACAGGTAATAAATCCAACAGGAAATATTGTGAAGTATATTTTAAGAAGAAAGTTTTAAGATCATTAAGTAGTTGCTGTCCACTGGACAAAAAGTAAACTTGTTGCATTTTTAAAATAACCTTAAACTCTGACACCAACATTGAAAGGCAGTGTAAAATTAATGGTTCAATACAAATCATCCTACATTAACAGTTAAGAGCTAAGTTCCAGCTTAGCTCAGATGCCTGCTATACCTAAGACCCTGTGTCTTAGCCCATTTGTGTTGTTATGGAATACCTGAAGCTAGGTATATTTTTAAAAAAGAAGAAGAAGAAGAAAGAAGAAGAAAGAAGAGGAGGAGGAGGAGGAGGAGAAAGAAGAAGAAAGAAGAAAGGGAGGAGGAGGAGGAGGAGGAGGAGGAGGAGGAGGAGGAGGAGGAGGAGGAGGAGGAGGCGGAGGCGGCGGCGGCGGAGGAGGAGGCGGAGGCGGAGGCGGAGGAGATGATGATTTGGCTCACAGTTATGCAGGCTGTACTGGAAGCATGGTGCCAGCCTCTACTTGGCTTCTGGTGAGGGCCTCAGACCACTTCCACTCATGGCAGAAGGCAAAGGGGAGCTAGTGTGTACAGAGATTACACAACAAGAAAAAGGGAGCAAAAAAGAGAGGGAAGGAAGATACCAAGCTCTTTTAAACAATCGGCTTCCATCGGGGGACAAATAGAGCAAGAACTCATTACTACAAGGACAACACCAACATGTTCATGGGGGATCCGCTCCATGACTCAAACACCTCCACAATGGGAATCAAATTTCAACATGAGATTTGCAGTGGTCAAACTAAATATAGCATCATTTCTAAATCATTTAGGGTTTTTGGAAACTCAGCATACAATATTTAGTGAAAATTATCATATAATCAGAATATCTGTCCCCTAATACACGAACATGTACACCCAAAGCTATAGCTCTCCTGATACAATTATGTTCTCCATAACAACGGTGACTGTGTGTCCAATGCATAAAATGAGTTTGTATGAGAAACAGCAACTTCAAGAATAAAAGGCCTAGCTTAACAAGGAGTAGCAAAATCTCTGAACTTGGGTTCCAAGTGGAATGATTCCAATTCAATTAAACGGATATTTTTTATTTAGTGCCCCAATGTCTATGTGAGTGGAAGCATATCTCAGATAGAGGAAAAGCTCAAGAAGGCTGAGAGATGAGAAAAAACTGTATATGCAAAGCACAGAAAACACGAGTATTGCTACTTTTAAAACATGTGTGTGGCTGGGGGAGGTGGCAGTGGCCATTGTTGTGGTGCCAATGTCAGCCATAACTAGGAGCAAAATTACACAGGGCTTTGCAGGCCTTATTAACAAATTTGAACCTCATCTCAAGAACACTCAAAAGTCACTGAAGGGTCTAAGCAATTGTGTAGCATGATTCATTTTTCATTTTTTAAAAACTTATGCTGCAGCACACAGAATAAATAGACAGCCAGGTTGGAGACAAAGAAACCAGTTAAGAGACAGCTTTGGTAATCTGAAATGATAGAGGCCAAAATTAGAAGGCAGTAAAACAGAAATCAAAAGTAAGTCCTCTGAAGTCATTTACCTGCATTCAAATCCCACATTTTCCAATTACCAGGTATACATCTTTGAGCAAGTTGCTTCCTGCTATGGTTCGAATGCTACAAAAAGCATACGTTGGAAACTTATGCTGAACTGTTGCATTGGAAGCTGGAGCCTCATGGAGATGTATAGGTCATGAGGGTGGAGCCCTCATGAATGGATTAATGCTCATTATAAAAGAGCTTGAGGTTGCAAATTCCATCTCTTGCTCCCTCTTGCCCTCTCTTATCCTTCTGCCATGGGATGACAAAGCACAAAGGCTCTCATCAGATGCTGCATCATTCTTTTGGATTTCCCAGCTTCCAGAACTGTGAGTCAAATAAATTTTTGTTCATCACTATACTCAGTCTGTGGTATTCTGTTACAGCAGCCCAAACGGACTTAAATACATATTATCTCTACAACTCAGCTTTCTCTTCCTATAATCCAAAGATAAAAATCTTCACAGGATTCTTGCCAAAGTACAAATAAAATAATATATATACAGCAGTTAGCATGTTGCCTGGCACAGAATAAGAGTGAAAATGTTTATCATTATTAATGCAATGCAAATAGAATAATGAGAATACTAGAAGATGTTTAGGAGACAAAAATTGACAGTTTAAATAAAGGAAAAAGATGAGTTTACAACTTCTGGCTTACAGAGTAATCTGTTTGATAAGATGAGAAACATAGACTGAATGTTCTGAAGGTTTGAAGGAAAAGATAGTGTTCATTCTTGAATATATTGATTGTGAGTTCATTCTTGAATATATTGTGAGAGACATGCCAGTAGGCAGGCAAATATATAGATCTGAAGTACAGGAACAGATCAAAGCTGGAGATCTGAGATTCAGAGACAGATGTTAAGTCCATGGGTGTTGAGAAGAACCCCTAGAGAAAGAATATGCACAGCGAAGAAATGATGACACTAGGTAGAACCTAAGGAACACCATCACTTAAAGGACATTGAGAGCAAGAGTCCAGATAAATAAGAATAATACTATATGATATACGAAAAGCTAAAAGAAAGTATCTCAAAGAGGGAGTATTCAACAATGTCAATAGTGCCAAGCAGTGAAACAAGAGGATTTGACGACAAAGTATTTATTCACATAGTATGCATCAAGTGTTGTGCTAGACCCCTGAGATACAGATGTGAATCGGAAAAGACCCTTGCACAAACAGACATGTTGTGAAGATGTAAACTAGCAAACAAATCAAATACAAATTGTAATAAGGATGATGAGCAGAGAGTGACATGATAAGAGAGTAAAAGGCAGAGGTCAGCTTTAGGTGGGAGTTTGGGAAGGCATATTTCTGAGGTAGAAAAATTTAAGATGAAATCTGAGGCAGAAAAGGGCATGGTCAGAGAACTGAAAGGAGTTCCATAGGGCTATGGCACAATGATGAAGGAAAGATGGAGAGAGAGAAGCTAGACCATGTTTGCAGATCATGCTCACAACATAGAAGAGTTTAGATGATGACCCATTGAGCATTTGTAATCAATGAAGCTAAGATCACTCTAGCTAATAGTAATTAACAGTTTGGCTTTCCTCATTATACTAATCTTAATAATCAGAAATAGGAAATTTTACTACTGTTTTAACCATTAACTGTTTATTAAAATAATATCCAAATAAGCTTTTCTATCTTAAAGGATACTACATGGTTACAAACATGTTATCTATTGCATTAATTTTACTAACCCCCATTTAACCTTCCTCCATATTTCTTTCAAAGATATTTGTCATAATATCTGTTTGAGTCCATCAAATGTCTCTAAGGTACTCACTCATTTTCAAGCAATGTAGATCAGAATTTGAATGTGTTATAACAACATGACTAAGCAAGATGTTGCTAAAATGTGTATGGGTCAATAACATACAAAGTATCTGATGAAACTCATCACCTTGGCCAGGCACGGTGGCTCACGCCTGTAATCCCAGCACTTTGGGAGGCTGAGGCGGGTGGATCACGAGGTCAAGAGATCGAGACCATCCTGGTCAACACGGTGAAACCCCGTCTCTACAAAAAATACAAAAAATTAGTTGGGCATGGTGGCGCGTGCCTATAATCCCAGCTACTCAGGAGGCTGAGGCAGGAGAATTGCCTGAACCCAGGAGACAGAGGTTGCGGTGAGCCAAGATCGCGCCATTGCACTGGGTAACAAGAGCGAAACTCCATCTCAAAAAAAAAAAAAAGAAAGAAGAAACTCATCACCTTAAAAAAGATTATATTCTATAGTTTCAGTTTCCTATTTCCTTAATCTATGTAACTATATACATACATACAATAAAGAAAAGTTGATACAGAAAACATTGGCTTGAATCTGAGCAGCTGAATTACACATTCATATTCCTTTTTAATTTCCTCATCTGCAAGAGGAAAAACTTATGGTCCTTCATATTTTAAAGGCGTCAATAAGAACAAATGCCATCATCAGGTAGTGTGCAAGGCACATTAAATTATTTTTAATTATTCCAATACCTCTCAAAAATAAATATAATTCTTCCCATTTTACAGATGAAAAAAATAATCACAGTGAGGTTAGATGACTTGCCCAAGACTACAGTCACGGAATTTAAGCCCAGTACAACAGTAGGCTCAAAAACTCTGGTTACTATACCAAGATGTCCCAAACTGTTAACAGATTGAGTTCCTTAACAAAAAAAAAAAAAAGAAAAGAAAAAAAAAGTCACATACATTAAATCATAAAAATAGATTTCTAAATAATAAAAATATTTTGTTCAGTTTTTCAGAAACTGTGTATAACTTAGAAATATTAGCCAGACACACCATTCTTATACAGGTATATTTTTCCCTTCAGCATAACAACTTGATTTTTACTTTTTTTATTGGAAAAGAGAGATAAAAGGAGGCTGTAACAGATAATCACACTGTATTTAAGGTCCAATAATTACCATTGAGTCAAGTTTTTTTCCAGTTAATCCTTAATACAAATATTAAATTCAATTAACTACCAGCAACTCACTACCTATTCTCACAAAACTTGTTTCTCAAAGTTAAAAATTACAAGTGGCTGGCATAAGATGTTCCTGAATCAGAAAAACCTAATTTCTGATTAGAACCTCTAAATGTCATGATTTCTCTTAACTAGAAAGGAAACAAGTCTGAATAAAAGTATCATAATTTGCTCTAAGCAGAATCTACAGATGTATTGTATTGTGAGCTCTTCCTCCTGAGATTTTTCAGGTAGGCAAGTCATCCACCAAGATACTGTTTGAAGAAGACTAGATATTTAACAAAATGAAACTGATGCCAGATTATTTTTATTTTCCTTAATAAAATACAAACAACAGCACAAAATTCACTGATATATATCATCATCTTACATGTATAAATAATGCTCAGAATTCAAGTACAGTCAAGTGCAGAAATATTTCCTATATGCTAATGTGTAAATATTAACTAATTACATACATCATGTGCCTCTGGCCTAGTTAAAACACATCAAAAAGAAACACTGCACTTGACTGTTTCATTGCATTCTCATTGAGAATTCGTACCAGTGCCTATGTAGTTACAGTTTTACTTAACTGTTCCATTGCATTCTTATTGACAATTCGTACCAGTGACAATGTAGTAATAACTACAACTTTCATACCACTCAATGTAAACACCTAAGTAGACATCTCCCCCAGTTGTAAATATCTCAGGAGCTAAAAGTCTATCAATTTTTAATAATGAAGTAGTCAAAATCTTAACTGAGTTTCATTCCTTAAAACAAACACAATTAGAGAACTTACTCTTAACCAAAGTTCTTCCTATGCCAAGATGGATATTTACAGGCTATACATACAGAAAACAAAACGCAATCATGTTTGTTTACTTTTACAATGGGCAAAAAATATCTAAAAGCTGTCTCAATAGTGTGGATCTTTGTAGATTCAAAAGGACCTTACTTCACTGATATCACTTGCTTTTAATTTTAATACCCAGTATATATAACTTTGCGATGTTCAAATAGCTAGGCAATCTGAATTCAAATGATACACAAGCATACCCTTTGAGGGGCAAGAAAAGAAAGTACCACCGAAAAAGCAGTAACTGACATCAACAAGACTATAAATATCCAGTTGAAGGCACGTGGAAGCATTTACTACTCTGCCGTCAAAGAATCTCCGCTTAGTTCAGGATCAGGAATAGAATCAACTCTGGGAACTGTGGAGGGGGCTTCCTCATTCTCAGTCTCTTCTTTCTCTTCAATCACTGAGGCTTCCTCATTCTCAGTCTCTTCTTTCTCCTCTGGTTCCTCTGAGTCAGATGCTTTCTCAATCACTTGGTTTGTCTGTTCTGTAGCTGGTATTTTGTCATCTGTCTGCTCTGTACTATTACCAAGAACATCTTGTTCTAAAGATTCTGAAAAGATAAAGATTCAAGACTTTAGGAATAACTGAATGTTAAAACTGCTAAGTAAGGCAAGCAAAAGATACACACACACACACACACACACACCCCATACGGTTGTCTAACACTATCCTTCAAATCTTTTAAAATAAGTACCTTACTCCCTTTACAGTTAGTATAATTGAAGAAAAAAAAAATAACTTAGATAAACCCATAAATATACTTTTTCTAATGTCCCATATTTTCATACAAAATAAGTTCCTAAAGACATATCTGAAAGTTGAATGTCCGAAAATCGTAGCCCCAAAAGACTTATGTGCTGTAATACCATAGTCCAGCAAACAATGCAAATGTATTAATGTCCAGATTGTTTCCTGAAGAAACTGTTTCCCTTGTGTCCAGGCAACCCTGTGAGCAATGTGTAAATGTGTACTTTCGTGTGTGTGGGTGTAGGTGGATGGTGCTTTCCTACACGGATGTACATCTCTATTATCCAAAAACTGGGATGTCAGGGTCTACCTTTTCCAAAGGCATGACAAGTCTCTCCTCGTCCCTCTGCAAAAAACAAGTCCTCGGTATTTAACTTCTGGGTCAGAATGTGCTACATACCTAGCATGCTAGGGAGAGAAAAAGAAGGAAGGGTCTTTTAACCCCACCTTCACAGCAGAAGCTAAGTAAGTAAGGGTACTAGTCCCCACATGAAACTTTACACCTTTTAACCTCTAACTCTTTTTAAGTATTATTGAATTCAAATCCCTTATTATATAACAATTATATTAAATAAACTGCCTTTAATTCTTTAAAGAACAGGACAGGTGAGGGAATAACTGGAGCAGACAACCTTTGGGAACACGTATTTCTACATTACAGATAAAAATCTAGCTTTAAGGAATTTATTTTTGTAAAAAATAGCAATTAATATTTTTGCTAGGAGAAATATGGCTAAACCACATCAGTTAAGAAAAAAATAAGATTTTTCTACTCTTACAGATGATTGCTTATGATATACTACAAATGTTACTGATTCAAAAAATCTGGAGGAAAGGCCAGTCTTAGTAAAAAGTTCTAATTAAGTTTCTTGTATAATACAGGCCAGTTTTGCTAAATAAGTAAAATTGTTTTGCAAATAAATTATATGTTATATGCACGTGTTAATATGGAAGTCTTAGAAATCCATGGTTTTACCATACCAGTTTTAATAAATACAGATTATCTATATTTCACATACCTTATGACAATACTTTTAAAATATTTAAAAAGAATTATTTCTTCAAAGAGATATCTTGGACTCTGGCTTATATAATTAATTATAACCACTTTCCTCCTTTTTATATGTAGAATAAAGGTCCGAATTCCACAGTTAGAAACGTTTTAGTTATTAAATTATAGTAAAACTTAATGATGTTTTGCTATATGAAACATTCCTATAATCACAAATAGTAAAAATGTCTACAAATTAATTTGTACCAAATTTCATTTTTTTAAATCCTATTTGTATCTTAATATGGAACTTAAAGTGGCACTGCTACACCCTTGGAATCTTACAAAATATCCAAGTTAGAAAAGCAGTAAGTCACTCGAATTTTGTTATTTCAATGTTCCAGAGCAGAAAGGAAAAGCAGAAAGGGCAAATGAAACTACAGGCATGTACAAATCATTTCTGCTACAAGAGCAAACAAGTTATTCATGGAAAACTTCAGGAGTCACCAATCATTTGTAATTCTACCCTCATAGAATTTATCCAAGATAGAATTTTAAGAGTCATAGTTTTCCACAACTCTCCCGCCATACAGCAATATTTACTTGGCAAGAACTTCATAATTTCTTATAGTTTGGTAAGCCTTCTGAAACAAACCAATAAAGCCACAAGAAATGAAAAAATAAAAAGCTCAGAATCCAGGATGTAACTCACCAATAAACATGTTTAAGTGAAAACAGGCCCACATAGTTTGTCATATTCTGTCTGACAGACTGCCTCAATACTGTATTGAAACAGGAGAGGTATCAAAATTCAAGGCTTGTCATATTAAAGTTTTGTGTTTATTTTCAAAAATAAACTTTACTAGTCAAAGCTAATTTAATATACAAATTCTGGGGCCATAAAGAAGTAGTTAATACAAGGAGGAGAACTACAATACTGAAATTTTTAAATGTCTGCAACACAAGAATTCAAAGAAATACCATGTGCTATCATAATCAGAAAACAACATGATACACAAAGTTTTCCAGTCACTATTGTACTTCAGAGAATATGTGAAAGACTATAAAACTGATGAAATGATGGGTGGAGATTGAAAATAATCAAAGAGGCTATTAATGATTACTTTTCTTCTCCTGGGTTAATTTGCAGAAAAGCAATTTTTTAACAGCAGTAACACTACAAAAAATTGGTATGTGACATGATACCTACAATGTAGACATCAGCTAGTCTAAATAAAATAGTTAATTGTTGGATGCCAATGCCATTTTGTAAGAAGTCATCAAACAAGATCTAAATAATTAAGTGTAAAGATTAACAGAATTACATATCAATTTAATAACCACAAAACTTTATAAGAAGATTAATGTGTAACAAACGTGCTTTTTTCATTTCTATGGAAGCACATCATTTGCCTATTCTAACAAAAACAGCAAATTTCTTCCATGAAGTTGTAGTTTATTCCAACAGCTTGTTGGAATAAATATATTTCCAAAGATGTTAATATTTGGGCATAAAATACTGTAAGAGAAACCAGGCTTTGTGTTCATACTAATTAAAGAACCCTACTCTTCACTGTATGGCCCAGTGCAAGACAAAGATATGAAACAATTACCTGAATAACCTAATTCCATCTGTAAGAAAAACTTTAAAATTCACTCTGGCATATATAATGCCAAGAAAACAATACACTACAATGTGATAAAACAAAAAATAATCCATGCATTTTGTTTCTTTCCCCAATCCTGCCATCAGCCCACCCCAACATCAATATTCTTAAGAGAGTCGTTTGGGCAAAGTCTAAACTCAGCTAGAAAACTGAAACTCATAAAATAGCATAATTATATAAGGAATATCACTGCCTCACCTATAAACTACACACATGCAAAAACATGTAAGAATATCATGTTTAGGTTTTTACTCTAGTTCTTGAAAGAACAATTTTTTAAGAAAATTAAATAGTCTAGCAAAACAACTTCATATATTTTTGCCTTGCTAACACATAAAAATTTTGCCTTGCTAACACATCAGTGCCCAGTATATATGTAGGCTACAAACTTACCCAATGACTCAATACGTAAAATTCAATTAAATTATAACCAGTCATAAGAAAATAGCTACTATTCAACACATAGAATATCATTAATTATTTGCCATTTCTGAACAAATCAATTAGGAATTTTTTGTTTTGTTTTGTTTTGTTTTTGAGACAGAGTCTCACTCTGTCGCCCAGGCTGGAGTGCAGTGGTGCAATCTCCGCTCACTGCATCCTCCACCTCCAGGGGTTCAAGCAGTTCTCTTGCCTCAACCTCCTATGTAGCTGGAACTACAGGTGTGCGCCACCACACCCGGCTCATTTTTGTATTTCTTAGTAGAGACAAGGTTTCACCATATTGGCCAGGCTGGCCTCAAATTTCTGACTTCGTGATCCTCCCAAAGTGCTGGGATCACAGGAGTGAGCCACTACACCTGGCCAAGAGTTTAATTATTAAGCAATGATCTAAAACTATACTACTAAGTGAAGGTGTTTTAGAAAAGGGAGTCAGAAGACCAAATGATCTCTATGTCTAAAACAAACATTCAAAAACATACTATAAGCAAGTTTATATCTTGAGAAAGTGGCACACAAGTAAATATAAACAAAGGTATAGGAACATTATTTCATGGATCCGGTAAATAAATGGAATTCAACAAAATTTACATTACCAAATAGTTTAATTTTCTGGTGTATCAAAACAAAAATACTAAACACAGAATTTTCCCTTGTTCATCACAATCTAATGGTAACAGTATTTTGTATAAAAGAAAGGGAAGGACTAAAATCATATTATCAAGTTAAATTTCACCTTATATAAATTTTACTTGCTATTTTTGATAGTATTGATTAGATACCATGAGTTTTATTATTAGGAAGTTATTTCTAATTGGACAAAAACTGTATTCTACTGAAATTATTGCATGAAACCTAGACAAACACAACTGAGCAACAAAAACACAGTATCAACATTAACATTTTTTAAACATGGTAGTCAAAAAATCACCGCACTAGAAGACTAACAATGTAGAAATCTAGAACTCTAATGATTATCACATATCACAAAAAGGATCCTATGTATCAGTATTTAGAAAGCACATCTTCTAAGAAAGGTAAAACTGATAAACCACTTTAATGTGACTTAGCAGAGATTCAAGTATTATGGTGCTATTTATTTAACCATAAAAGAAACTGAGGAACCTAAAAGCAGTTCATTTCTTGGCGTATCATATTTAGTATGTCCTCAAAAATACAATCTATAGCCCCAATTTCTTGTATTTCTTTAATAATCTATTACCAAGGCATCTGGATGTAAAATTCCAGAAAAAAAATATATTCTAGGTATTCAGGTGAGAAATTAATGGGAGAAATTTCTTCTAGGTCTCCTCCTTTGACAAAAACTTTCCAAGATTCTGTAAGTTTTTCTAAAGAGCAGTCCAGAAACTTTAACAGCTTTGTGCCTCATCCTAAATGCAAAATCTTCCAATATCAGAATCCAGGCAAAACTTAATTTCAAAATCCTTATATCACAGATTGAAAAATATATATTTCTTCTATTCATTCTTGACTGTTCATAAAAATAGTTACTGGTATCTGTTTAAGGAAAAGTTCAGATGGAAGAAAGTTATCTTTTGGTTCTATCTGTAACTTCAGTAACTTAATCTCTACAATTTCTGTTGCTATCAAGGAGCCACTTCAATACTTTTAATAATATAAGAATTAAGCAGAGAAGTTTTTTTTCAGACCTGAAGTATCTACATCATTTAGAAATCAGAAATCTAAAACACTGGCTGTTAGCAAAGAGTAGATGATTGAGATAATATGGTTTTAATTAATAGTTCAACATAATGATAAGCCACCAGCATTCAAAACAAATGCAGCTTCATCTGTTCATAATAAATACTTCTAGTTGTTTACAAAAGGAAGCCAGCTTGGAATTGATAACTGTGTGTCACAATTATTGAGTTAGAAGTCTTCAGAAAGTTTCAATCTTCTGGAAAGTCAAAGAAGAAAAAGATGCTCATGGCCACTTTGATGAATCCAAAGAGAAGTATGAAAGTTATTATTCTAGAAACTACCTTAACCAAATGGAATTGTTGCTTCAGTTTTTAGCATTATGGAGTTATCAAACTCTGCCTCAAGTTCTGTCTTCACCTAATAACATTACCTTATTTGGGTTGAGTTTGAGCCAGTAAGACTTCTTTCCAGAGATTTCAGACAGAAAATGAGACATCTGGGGTATTGCTCCTCCTAGATTAGATGAGAAGGAAAGGTATAGCTGGGTGTTGTTTGCTAACTATCCATCTTGACCTTAGCAGAAGATATATATGGCAGAAGTCCCATATAAAGCATGGAACTCATTATGAAGACTGTTACTCTGTTGACTGTTTTTCTTGTCTTGTCTATCTTTTTTTTTTGGTCCCAACTATTATCTTTCAAATATTCACTTTAGCTTCTCTATGCAAGACTAATGATGGAAAAGACTTCAATTTTTCCTCTAGGCATCTTCAGTATGAAATCCTTTAATTTTCAGTTCCAAGAGGCTGCAATGGGAAGGCAGGTGGTTTGCATGTGACAGCATGCAGCTCAAAGCACGACTTAAGCAAAAGAAAAAAATTGTCATTCTGTTTGGATCTGATGCTGCAGACTTGGAGAAGATGAATGCATTGATTCAGTGTTGAAAGTATACAGGCCTCTCTCATAGCTATCTGTATTCAAATTCGTTTCAGTATTTGTTAGTAAGCCAAGCCAAGCCCAATTCAACACACGCATTTTAGGTCCACTCGTCAAAGTTAAAAAATACATAAAGATACTCAAATCCCATACTAAATTTCTGATATCTGAAAATTCACTGCTTCATATGATGTTCTCAATTAAAGCAACTTTTACAGTACTCAATGTTTTTATGAAGATAACAAGTATACATAAATTATAATTACTAGAAATTAAAAAGAATCCTAACTGATAAATTATGGGAACTAAACTTCTAATATGCATTTTTTTTTCTATATCACACATAGCACCAAAATATTATGGCCTAGCTCATAATTTTGGCAATCTTTATAATTCAGAGCTGATTAACAAAGAGTTCTAACCAAATATTAATGCTGTAGTAAGAAAGAGCTGGCAATAGTCAAATCTCCCACCTAACCTTTTCCATTTTTTCATGAAACTTTCTCAAGAATTCCTAAAACAGAATTGTAAGGTGAATTCTAAAACCCAATAAATTCTGTTTCTCTAAAATAAAGTTGATTTTTACATCAAAGGCAATGTTAATCTTGTGAACCTTTATAAATTGTCTGTTTCAATGAAATATCAGTCCTATAGATACAGTCATCTAAAAAAATGCAAGGATAACATTATAATTCCAAAGTTTCCTGCTTTCTGGTAATATCTACCAATTCATGTGGTAGATGCAAACCTATTTTATCAATGCTAATCACAAATCTTGTACTTTATCCTTTGAGTAGTTGTTTCATAATTCCAATAATCTGTTTCATTCAGATAAATTGAAAAAATTATCCCATGAAAATATTACTAATCAAATCTCCCAACGGTTTTTAGAAAAGGTCACTCAATAAACAATGTTTAACCAGCAGATGCTAGATGTTGCTGATCACAATACAATCTGCATGTTAAAAGTGAAACACATCACACCAATCACACAGGAGTCTACAGTAACAGAGCAATAGCTGATATATGCATGCTGCAAGATCTGATAAATTAATCCATCCCTACCTAAAAGCATTATGCTTTTATTACTGTTAAATAACAAGATGTTATTAAGGGACAAACTGTTTAAATAGCCATACCTTCGTTAAACTGGTTGTCTGATGAAAGCACACTTCCCGATGGCAAGGGGCCAACTGAACTTGAAGCTTCCACTACCTGCCTCTTCTCAAAACTAAACTCCGGAAGTCTTGGAGCCTGAGGTCTGGTTTTTCTTGCAGGGTTCAAGAAAAAACAGTAGGCACATCGAAAAGCTGCAGAGAATATTTTAAAAATAAGCAAAACCACAAACCAAACAAAGTTCAAGGACTAATTAGTTAACTCACAAGATTACTTTTGCAGATATTCAAAAGAACCCTTTAAAAGTTACTGTATTTGTTATTTTAATAATATGGTAGATGTTCTAAACAGAACTAATTTACAGCATATTTCCTAATTATTAAAATTAAAATTGTAATTTTAAAAATTAAAGGCAGAAAAGTCATAACAGATTATATAGCAGGCTAACTATGTAATAAGTTACCCAGCAGGTTGATAGCAAAATAATGATTTAAATGAATTAGTGAGATTACATTTCTAGTCACCAGAATCATTAGGTATTTTAAAATCCAGAACCTTGCACATTTACCCAAGAAAATGCTGTACACAGTATTTTAGAAGCATTTTAAATTTACCACAGTAGTTTTTAATAGGGGCTACACATGAGAATCATCTGCAGAGCTTTAAAAAATGTACTGATGCCTGGACCCCATAGTCAGTCCCTTAAAGGAGACTCTTTGTAAATGGGTCCTGGGTATCACAATCATTTTAATCTCTTCAGGTGATTGTGATGCACAGTGGGGTTTGAGAACAACTGGCCTAAAGACTGTTCATTATATAGGAAGAACCTAAATTGTCTTCTCTGCTTTGCTCTATGTACCAAAATAAGGATAATATGCTTAACCAATGTATACAAAGAGAATACATAAGATAAAATGACAACACATAGAAAATGGCATAGAATAAAATATTTCAAAGTAAAATATTTAAATCTCATTGCCCAATAAGAACTCACCAATATATTCAAATTCTTCCTTCAAAGCCATGCCATTATGAGAAAAACACTGCTGACATATAAGTGCATACCTACACCATAAGGAAAAAGGAACAAACCAGTTACAAATGTAGACAAAGCTTATGGGAGAGGTTATTTTAGCCATCATGGCTAATTTATATTTTAACATAGCTAAATATGCCATAACAAATTATATGATAGTAAACCACACACAATATTTGTTAAACAAAAACCAAAATTAACCAAAGCCCAAATTTCAAATATTTAAAAATATAATTTATACATCAAATTTAAAAAAAACTAAACAGCAGTTAAATGAATATGTCTTTACTCAGTTAGCAGAAACATATTTGATAACTGAACACTTAAATTTTGGTGTTTCCCAAAGTATGGTCCTGAGGATGAAAGCCTCCAAACCTGTGGTCAGATAAGGAAAGTTGGAACCCTCTTAGAGATTCACAAGGAATATTATTAAAACCTGAGAGGTCTTCCAGCAAATAAACACATTTAATTTTGTTTAGTCCTACCCAAAGATTAATTTCTATACATGATTCCTATACCTTTCCCAGTTACACTAAACATCTTTCTCATTTTCTATTTATATACTTTCTCAGTTCTCTGTGGATATACTCAACAAATACTTACCTGTATCAAATGTCATTCTATTTTGAATAACATACAATTAGGAGGGCTATCAAACACCTACTATCCTATGAATTTTTTAAAAATCTACACTTTGATAATTACTCTGCACATATCATATTCCTAGAATTATTGTAAGAATAACTGGAAAAGCATTTTCAGAACTGTTAAGTACTAAATAAGTGCAAATTGCTCTTAATGTTATTAAAAGTACTACTATCACCAACTACAGTACTGATATCTATAAAGCTCCATTTCTTAGAACCTATCAGGGTTGCACTATGTTTTTGCTCTTTAAGTTTAAAAGTTTCAATGAAATAATCCACTTTCTCTAAAAGTTACAGCAGAGTTAATATTTTTTCCAAATGGATTTAATCCACACTACATTGTCAAAACTTCTACGGTCAAACAATTGAATATGTACTCTTTTGCTGGGCTATAAAATACTCCATTATGCTCTAAAATCAGAAAATAGGTGTCACAAAACTGTAGAACATCTAGTATGTGCACACACACACATCCTGATTTTGTTTCCATTGATCTGCCACCCCAGTAAATATTACCTGTTCTGTGGACCATCACCAACCAAATATTCAACAATTCTATCCAAAGCACCTCGTTCTCGGGGGAGAATAGGTCTTGCTAAAGGTGGACCTGGAGGATGAAGACCTATTAAATAAATACATATAAAATTTATATGTATGAAATACACATAAAATTTAATTCTATTATCAAGAATTATCTATGCTTAACACTTTTAAAAGGTTTTAACAAAATATTAATTCTTACAAATCTCTGAAGACCATTCAAATTTTCATTAAAAATACTGCACTACAAAAATATATTTAAATATGTACTAATCTACATAATCTACTAGATTCCTACTATATAATCTACTAGCAAATACGATTATGCTTAATTCTGTTCAAACTGATTTTTTTTTAAATGCTCCAACTCTTAAAAATCTATGTAATCGTAAATCAGCGGACTTCCATTTCAGATCATAACAGAGTAACAGGAGTCAGATTTAACGTCCCAGCTAAAATACTGTGCAAAACATATGAAGAAACAGTTTTAAAGATACAGGATATCAAGCAATGTAGGTTATTGTTCCCTGAGAAGACTAAAAACAAGACACGCCCCAGGTTATTGCCTACAGAGAGTTTTTACTCAGCAGCGAAAGGAAAATAAACCCAGCTGAAGGGTAGCAGACTCTCATAGTTGAGGAGACAAAGCCAGAATTCTGAGGAGGCCAAGGCAGCTTGAGTTCACAAGAAAAAGTACCAAGGATGAGAGAAGGCACAGAGAAAGAACAACAAAGATCTACAGAGGGTTTACTAGAGAATTCAGCAGAGTACTGATTGGTGCATGCATGTGAGAAAACTATCTGAGGATGGAGGAAAAAATTACCCAAAAAGGTGAAAAGAAAGTGTTCATACAGGGCCAAGAATATTGCCCATTTCCATTAGAGTGGAAAAACCTCCTAACACATAGGCCATTGAGTATTCAGAAGAGTGCTGTATAGGAATTTTTAAAATCTAGCATTCAATAAGGTAAAATTCACAATGTCTGGCATCAGATTAAAAATTACTAGACATGCCAATAAACAGGAAAATATCACCAAGAAGAAAAATCAATCAAAACTGACCCAGAAATTACGAAAATTACTGAATTAGTAGACAACTAATTCGTATGACTGTATTTCATGTTTGAGAATCTAGAGATTCAGCATGCTAAGTAGACATGAAAAAAACTTAAAACCAAATTGAATTTCTACAGATAAAACTATAATGTCTAGTATTAAAAAATCCAGATTATGTGTACAGCAGTTTAGAAACTGCACACACAAAAAACTGGTGAACTTTAAGACAAAGCAATAGAAACCATACAAAATGACAGTCAGGTACAGTGGCTCATGCCTGTAATTCCAGCACTCTGAGAGGTCAAGGCAAACAGATCGCTTGAGCTCAGGCATTCAAGACCAGTCTGGGCAATAGGAGGAAGCCTCATTTCTATTTAAAAAAAAAAATAGAAAAATAGAAAAATTAGCTGGGTGTGGTTGCGTCTTAGTCCCAGCTACTCAGAAGGCAGAGGTAGGAGGGCTGCTTGAACCCAGGTCAAGGCTGCATTGAGCCATGATCGTACCACTGCACTCCAGCCTGGGCAACAGAGCAAGACCACAGAACAACCTCAAGCAGCCAATATATTTAATTGGAATCCATCAAGAAGAGGAGAGAAATGAATAAGAAGACAAAAATATTTAAAGAAATAATGTATATTTTATAAATTTGATGAAAGCTATAAATGCACATATTCAAAAATATCAACAAATCCCAAGCACAAGAAACGTAATTTTGTTCCAAGACAGTGAATGACCAAATTGCTTAAAACCAATAATAAAGAGAAAAATCTTAAAAACAACCAGAAAAAAAATACACTATGTACAGAGAAAGAGATAAGAATAACAGCAGACTTCTCATCAGAAAAGATGCAAGCCAGAAAATGATGAAACAATGTTTAAAGTTCTGAAAGAAAAAACTGTCAAAAATTCTATATCTACTGTGAACATCTTTTTTAAATGAAGACATTTCAGATATAAAAAACTGAAAGAATTCATCACTAGAAGAAGAGCAATACAAGAAATGTTAAAAAGAAGTCTTTCAGGCAGAAGTAAAGTGATAGCAGATGGAAAGTAAGATCTACACAAAGGAATAAAGAATCTAAAACAGTTATCATGTGGGTAAATATATAAGACTTTTTATTATTTAAATCACCTTACAAGATAACTGACTGCACTGTATTATGCATTATATGTAATCTAGAGATAACTTAAAAGTATATGGAAGGATAAGTACAGATTGTATACAAATACTATGCCATTTCATATAAGGGAGTTGAGCATCTGAGGATTCTGGTATCCACTGGGGGATCCTGGAAACAGTCACCCATGAATATACGTTCTTTCAAGTAAATAGAAAACATTTACCAATACATGGCATTCTTAGACATAAAATAAGTATCAATACACTTTTAAAGATTCAAATAACACAATGTATGTTTTATAACAATAAAATTCATTAGAAATCAGCAGCAGATAAACATCTGAAAAATCTCCAAATATTTGGTGACTAAATAACACACATTTGAATAACCCAGGACTCTAAGAAAACAGGACAATTAGAAAGTATTTTAAATTGAATGAAAATGGGAAAAAAATCAAAATTTATGATATGCAGCTAAAGCAATACTGAGAAAAAAGTTTGTAATGTTAAACACCTATATTACAAAAGAAGACAGGACTAAAATCCATAATTTCAGTTTCCTCATTATGAAAATAAAAAGGAAGAGCAAATGAAACCCAAAGTACAGAAGAAATAATAAAGATCAGAAAGGAAATCAATACAATAGAAAATACAAAAGAAAAGATGGTTCTTTGAAAAGATCAATATAATTGTCAATCTTTAGCCAGACTAATGAGGAGATGGGGGAAAAAAGAAGATACAAACTACTAATATCAGAAATGAGAAAAATGGCATAACTCCAGATTGTAAAAACGCTAAAAGGATAATTAGGGAATATTATGTGCAACTTAATGCCGATAAATTCTACAAGTTAGATAAAATGGACAAATCCCTTGAAAGACTACCAAACTACCAAAGTTCACTCAAGAAGATAAAAATAGTTATTTGATTTGTTAAAATTTTGTTAGGAATTTTTGCATCTATGTCCATGTGTGTTATTAGTAGTTTTCTTAAAGGAACTGAATTTTAGTTAAAAACAACAACAACGACAACACCTTTTTCTCTCAGAAACAACAAAAAAAAAACAGGCCCAGATGCTTCAACTGATCAAATCTACCAAACGTTTAAATTAAGGAAGACATAATACCAATTCAACACAAATTGTCCAGAAAAATGAATAGGGAATACTTACTCATAACATGAAACCAACATAACTCTGATACCAAAGCCAGACGAAGATATGACAAGGACCAAAAAAAAAAAAAAACAAAAAAAAAACCACAGTCCAATATTCCTAATGAGTACTGATATCAACATTTTTAACAAAATATTAGCAAACTGAATCCAATAACATGCATATAAAATAATTCATCATGATAAAGTGACATTTATTCCAAGAAAGCAAAGGAAGTTTAACATTTAAAAGTCAATTTAATTCACTATATGAACAGGCATTAAAACAAAGAAACAAACAAATCCCAATATAAACACCTCAATAGATGTAGAAACAGCATTTGAAAAAAATCCATAATCTATTACTAATTAAAAAAAAAAAAAAAAAAACCTTCAGCTAAGTAAGAATAGAATAGATGGCACCTCAAGCTGAAAAGGAGAATTTATTAAAATAAAAAACCCTAGAGCTAACATCATGCTAAAATGTGGCAGAATAATTGCTCTTTTCCTAAGACCAACAAAAAGGCAAGGATGCCCACTCATAGTATTCTTATTAACACTGTACTGAAGGTTCTTGCTCATGTAATAAGGTAAGAAAAATAAATAAAAGGAAGCCAGAATGGAAAGGAAGAAGTAGAATTTTCTTTATTCAGACAATGTAGCTGTCTATGTAGAAAATACTATTTAATCTACAAGAAAGCTATCATACTAGATAGAGCCAATAAATTAACTTATCAAGGTTATAGAATACAAGAGCAATATACAAAAATCAATTGTATTTCTACATATACTAGCAATAATCAGTTGGAAATCGTTAATAAAACAATATCATTTATAATAGCATTAAAAATATGAAATAATTAGATGTAAAGTTAACCAAAAAATGTGCAAAATCTCTATACCAAATACTACAAAACACTGCTGAAAGAAATTAATGACCTAAATAAAGAGAAATAAACTATGTTCATGTAATAAATTAGACAATATCAGAAGAGATTAATGGTAAGTGGGGAGTGGAAGAATAACATATAAAATTTAGTTCATAATTTTATTTTATATAAAAATAATGACAAAAATAAAGTTACACATTCAAACGTTATCAATTGTAAACCTATATAACCTCTGAAAATTGAAAGAGAACTATTTGCAGGAGATACTCAGAATTGAGACAACATAGAAGGCACTGAGAAGAAAATGACAGAATAAAAGAAAATGTGATGTTTGCCTTTGTAAAACAAAACAGAATGAACCTAATAAGGTGAGTAGCAATGGAGGTTTACATGGAGACTTCATAGAAGACTCTGAAACAAAATGGAACCCTGTTGGAAGAAGCCTTGCAATATATGGATACAAGGGTTTCAAAATGGCTGTGACAAAATCTTTAAAGTATTCAAGATGGCTTTAGGATAGCAATACTGTATTATACAAATATTTTAAAGGAATAAAAAAGAATTTCAATTTGTAAGTAATCACAAATGTAAAGGCTATTACCATCTATAAAAGGGCAACTGATGTCAAAATTATAGCTATTAGTAAATAAAAGTTATTTTCTAGAGCAAGTTCTTAATATTCGAAATCAAGTACATTTCTTTCTTTCTTTCTTTCTTTTTTTTTTTTTTTAACGGGATCTTGTTCTGTCACCCAGGCTGGAGTGCAGTGGAATAATCTTGGCTCACTGTAACCCTGCCTCCCAGGTTCCAGGGATTCTTCTCCCTCAGCCTCCCAAGTAGCTGGGATATAAGTGCCTGCCACCACGCCCAGCTAATTTTTGTATTTTTAGTAGAGACAGGGTTTCACAGTGTTAGGCTGGTCTTGAACTCCTGACCTCAGGTGATCCCCCTATCTTGGCCTCCCAAAGTGCTGGGATTACAGGCATGAGCCACCGCACCTGGCCCTCAAGTACACTTTTAAGATTCCATCAGGGGCAGGATGCAGTAGATCACGCTTGTAACCCCAGCACTATAGGAGGCCATGGTGGGTAAATCACCTGTCAGGAGTTCAAGAACAGCCTGGCCAACATGGTGAAACCGCATTGCTATAAATATTAGCCAGGCACGGTGGCACACACCTGTACTCCCAGCTACTGGGGAGGCTGAAGCAGGAGAATTGATTGAACCCGGAAGACAGAGGTTGCAGTCAGCCAAGATCCATGACACTGCACTCCAGTCTGGGCGACAGAGCAAGACTCTGTCTCAAAAAAACAAAAAAATTCCGGCCGGGCACAGTGGCTAACGTCTGTAATCCCAGCACTTTGGGAGGCTGAGGCTGGTGTATCACGAGGTCAAGATATCGAGACCATCCTGGTCAACATGGTGAAACCCCGTCTCTACTAAAAATACAAAAAATTAGCTGGGCATGGTGGCACGTGCCTGTAATCCCAGCTGCTCTGGAGGCTGAGGCAGGAGAATTGCCTGAACCCAGGAGGCGGAGGTTGCGGTGAGCCGAGATCGCACTATTGCACTCCAGGCTGGGTAACAAGAGCAAAACTCTGTCTCAAAAAAAAAAAAAAATTCCGTAAGCTAAGTTATTGGTTTATTTGTGCTAACGACATTCAATTACTATAATCAAGAAACAAACTTGAATCTAGACATGGTCATCCCTCATTATCAGATTTTCAACTTGAATAAGGAAGCCAAATTAGATTTGGAAAGCATTTAAGCCAACTTAACTTTTGCTAGAGTATTTTACTTCTACATATTTAAAGTGAACATACCCACAAAAGAATCTGGATACATGAAATAACAGATTTCATAAAAATATCTTAAAGCTCTTGCACATGCATCTTTATATTCATGCTGTTCTAGACAATGGTAATTAATACAAACATCAAAAGCAATCATTGTAGGAATGCTGGTCATTTTTACACAACTTGGCAAATTATCAAGTACCTGCTGGTTATTAATTTTCAAACATATGGGAGCCCTGTGGTAATACATGTTAAATTGATTCTCTTTCACAAATATGGCATAAAGAAAAAATTAATTATTAATCTTCTTGATAAATTATTTAACTCATTCACATCTTTGGCAATGTACAATTTAAACACAATCACACAAACTAATTAAAAACTTTAGTAAAACATATTATATTTACACAATCATAAAATCTAGGCTATTATTCCTTCTATAGCTCTATTCTTACATGTGCAATACAGTTTTTATTACTATATATTGTAAACTTTTTTCTTAAAATAAATTAGATATAAAAATGTATATAATCCATACATTCGCACCTAAAAAAGTTATTTCATTAAATAACCAGGAATTTCTATTTACAAATCATGGGTATCTTAAATCCACCAGATAACAACTGAAAGCTTAGTAATTTTCAATCAATTTAACTTTTCTCATTTTATAAAATATATGGCTGCCTTAAGTATTGCCATTATTTATCAAATTTAAAAGTATTATTTTACGTAACTATTTTAAAAGTTGTAAGATTTGCATACATTTCATTTATAGTATTCTTAATTTGTTAGTAAACAGTTTTTTAGTCTTCTAAAATCTTACACTGCATTTTTGAAGGAAAAGAAAAACATCTACTGTACTAAGTAACATTTCTATTTTTTATTGATTTTACTACACAAATGCTCTGGTTACCTGATATCAACTACTGCCTAGCCTCAAAGTCCTTATAAATTATATATCAGTAATTAGTCATGAAATAAAAAAGTAATCTACATTAGAATTAAATAATCTAAAAAAAATTTACTATCACATTCAACAATATGACTTGGAAATCTACATAAAACAATGTGATCTGCACTAAAGCAATGGACTTCCGTGCCCCAATCACACTCCAAAAGAAACTGCAAGGTACTATAGTCTATTACACTTCAGAATGGGATCTTCCTCTAGAGATCCACCACAGTGAAAAGAGAATCTATGAAATAAAATAAAGAGAATATATTCATTTAATAGAACTTTATAAAGTATATATCAGAAAATACTAAGGTTCTATGCTCATATTAACAAAAGTAATACTGTTTACCACAATACAAGAGTATTATTCCTGAAATATGTTAATTGTCATGTCTAAAAATATATGTATGGAGTTTAGCCAAAAAACATGAATACATTCCAAAAGTGTTTTCTTCTATCCCCATTTGATATAAATCTGGAGGCATTCTAAAGTTGAATATAAAAAGATAGGCTATACTGTTGACTACAGAATACTACTACAAAGTTTTATTGCCATTTAAACAAAGAAGCCATAACAGTTAAATGAGCTCAAGAAATAGGTTTCAGTATCACAAGGTGCCAGCTGTAAAGAGTTATGGCTAATTGAATACGGAACTCCTGCTTAATCAGATAACTGCTCTGCTGTTTTCAAATGAAATGCCATTTCCATACCATTTGAAAATGGCCCGTTTTATTGGTAACCAGAGAAAACAATATAAACTGTAAATAACATTAAGTGCTCTGTTTACCCATTCCAGGCACTGAAGTAGCAGGGGATCCAAGATGTCTTAGTAACACATTTGATGGTACTGCTGGAGTAACAGTCCTTTCTGGGGGTCCACCAGGGGCAGAACTGTCCTTTGATGGTCCGGGAGATACTGGAACTTGTGGAGGAGGGCCCTGGTTAGGACTTGCTGGTGTTGGAGAAAGGTTTCTTTGAGCTGCAGTTCGCTGACGAATCTCTGAGAAGAGTAAGTATATACTAGACTTAATTTCCAATATACCATATTAACCAATATCACAAACAACTTATATTTACTAAAATTTTGCATCTCCAAAAAGCATTGTAGTTTCAAAGCTGCTTGTAAGAAATCTATAAAATGTGACATTGAAAAGTACTATATTTCTGGACTTACAGTTCAACTGTACATCTTAACACAACAAGCTGTGATCTAAGTGTAGCTACTGATACCACTTTTCAAAATAAATTCAGTAAAATAAAACCACCCAATTATGTGCCATGTCTTTTTACAGTACTCTTCCTAATTATGATAAAGGAAAGAAAGTTTATCAGAATTAGTGAAAACTCCAAATTGCAGAGTTGTTTTTCAAGATTTGAAAAACTAAAAACTAAGAGATAAGTGAGTAAGTATATTCTGGAATATCAAAGTAATTAATCTAAGTAGTCATAGAAATGCTGAGAAAGTATTTTTGCTATTAGGTACCATTTCCATTCTCCTTTATGATATTGCTATCCTGTTGGCAAATTTGTCCTGGCTAAAACATTCAATAGATCTACTCTGTATAAACAACATTTCATCATTAATAAATCTTAGCTTATAGTTGCAGAAATTACAAGATTCTCTGTAACAGGGGTCAGCCAACATGCCAAATCCAGGCTGCCGCCTGCTTTTGTAGTTTTATTAGAACACAGCCCCACTCTTTTGTTTACATATTGTCTATGGCTGCTTTAGAAGAGTAGAGTAGTGGCAACAGAGACCATATGGCTCTCAAGGCAATTTAACTATATTTACTATCTGCTCTTTACAAAAGAAGTTTCATGACCCGTACTCAGTAACATAAAATTAAATTCTATTATTCTCCATTACCACCAATATTTTCCTTGAAAGTCAGTGTTAAGATTTCATTTAAAGAAGCCTTTGTAATTTTTCAATTCTACTTATCACATTAAATTATCATAAATCCTGAATTAGTGGGCTGAAACTAAAGAAGTTATTTTTAATTGGCATAAATAGTAAAAATACATATGTCCAGAAGCAAAACACTTGTACTCTATTTGACAGTTAAAGATTTTCATGAAAGTTCATTGCACTAAAAGTACAGCTCTAGTGTCAAATCTTAGTTCATTACAATCTAGTCTACCAGCTAAGAACGAGGGCCCTGAAGTCAGAAGTATTTGATTGGAATCCTGGCTCTGGCTACATGACTTCAGATGGGTTACTCAACTGTGATACACCTGTTATTTTATCTGTAAAATTAGGATAATAATATTAACTAATATAGTTGTTAGGAGGATTAAATATGATGTCTATAAACTGACAGCTCACATTTACTGAATACTTACTATTTCAGATGACAGTGTTTTTATACAACTAAGTATTTTCAAATGATTTTAGCTAAAATTACTGGGACCAACTAATTTTCCATTGGTTCACAGTTTAGTCTTTAACCAAGCCATTGCAATAATAAATTACAAGCACAGTATCATTATATAAATGGAAACATCTTTATATTTTGCTACTTGTCATGAAATTTATATAGAAATTCAGCTGTTACCTGAACAAACCATATCCTAACATCTGCAAATTGGCTGCTAACTTTAGTTTTTACTCACAAGGAGTACCTTAATAGGTGGTTGCATATTAGGGAAAGCCATTAAATGCTGCAAATGGTACTGAGATCAACAAAATCATACTAGGATTTGGTAATTTAAATTGCTAATTTAAAAATAAGGTGTCAAATACTGTAAATCATTTTTTAGCCAACTTTCAGGTAAAGCATAACTCAAAAAGTGTTATTTTTCTTCCAGATAAATAAAAGTTTAGCATATATTAGATTTTATTATAAGTAGCTATTATCCTTCCTCTTCACAAACTTGAGACTACTTCCTCTAAATGTGCATTTACCCAGTGAAAATTACCTGAAATGCTTTTACTATCACTAGTACTTAATTGAAAGGCGACTAGCTAAAAAAGGACACTATGTCAAGCATTCCATAAAAGAGACATACCTTAATAATTCTAAATCTAAATTTAGGGAGCAGGGAAAAATGTTATAGCAGAGTCACAAAAGGGAGAAAACGTAGTTTCATCGTTTTCAAAGGAAAAGCAAGTAACAAGGGTTACAATATCTTCAGTAGTTTAAAATAGTTACCAACAAGGTATAAATCTATTATCTGGCAAAACATTATCAAATATTCTGGTAGTCTCATTTTAAAATATCTCAGATTCATCTACTTTTAACTATTTGTGTTTCATAAAGTTTTCTATTACTCTAAAAGTTTCCAGTACTCAACATATTGGATATATTCAACATTTTCTGCCTTAGATGTAAGAAAGAAAACCCCTGAAGAGCCACCAAGCATTCCACAGGAATCTGGCAAAAAAAATCATAAGAAGCACTCCATGAGGTTAATTCTGAACTGGAGTATATTTTAACATCCTCATCAATGATCAATGATCCAACAAAAATCATACTGAGTATGAGGACATGGCTATATTAAGTTTAAATTCAAAATGAAGCAAATAAACCCATTAACCAACTTCTTTTCAAAGAGGTTATAAAGGGTTATGAATAAAGGTTGGTTAGTGGGTACAAAAATATAGTTCGATAGGAGGAATAAGAGCTAGTGTTTGACAGTACAGTAGGGTGACTACAATTAACAATAATGTGCCGGGCGCGGTGGCTCAAGCCTGTAATCCCAGCACTTTGGGAGGCCGAGGCAGGTGGATCACGAAGTCGAGAGATGGAGACCATCCTGGTCAAGATGGTGAAACCCCGTCTCTACTAAAAATACAAAAAACTAGCTGGGCCTGGTGGCGCGTGCCTGTAATCCCAGCTACTTAGGAGGCTGAGGCAGGAGAATTGCCTGAGCCCAGGAGGCGGAGGTTGCGGTGAGCTGAGATCGCGTCATTGCACTCCAGCCTGGGTAACAAGAGCGAAACTCCATCTCAAAACAACAACAACAACAACAAAAAAAACAATAATGTGTCATTCCAAATAGCTAGAAGAGAAGAACTGGAATGTTCTCAGCATAAACAAAAGAAATGTTTGAGGTGATGGATATCCCAGTTACCTTGATTTAACCTTATAAATTGTATGCAAGTATCAAAATATCACATATACCCCAAAAATATGTACAATTACATATCAATTAAAAATGAAACAAATAGAATCCAAATGATATATTTTAAAAACTACTATATTAAACAGAAGCTTAAATTAATGACAAAACAGCATAGCTGTGCAAAGCAAAGACTCTGGAATCAAATGGTCATAATTTAGCTTCACCCTGTTTACCTTTTCCAAGTTGATGATATCACTCAGTTTAGTTTTCTCATAATGTGAATACTTACCTCTTATGGTTGTTGTAAAGATTAAATGAGAAAATCAAGACAAAGAACTTAGCCAGAGCACATTCAAAGTACTTAATAGGAAATAACTATTAGCAGAAATAGTGTATAATAAAAGCTAAGCAATCTAGAATTTCTAAGGCAATTATTTTAAATATATAGATAATTTACACATTTATTATTTTCCTAAAGTTATTTGTGAACACATTTAAATGTGTAACTTCACAATTTATATAAAAATTTAAATGTATAACTCTAGTTTGCTATTAAATAATATTGGGATGAATGCTTTATAATACAAATACTCAACCCTTATCAGATTTTTAAAATACTGACTCTTTTTATGCGCTAGAAGGTTTGTCTTTGTTCTGTTGCCAAGCTATAGTAGGAAGAACACCATACAATAATTAGGAGGCCTGGATTTTCATCCTTGCTATTAGTACTAGCTGCTTTATTATTTCCATAGGTTATTGGAGAACAGGTGGGGGTTGGTTACATGAGTAAGTTGTTCAGTGGTGATTCATAAAATTTTGGTGCACCCATCACCTGAGCAGTGTACACTGCACCCTATTTGTAGTCTTTTATCTTCCAACCCCCCGCTTCCCACCCTTCCTGGGTTACCAAAGTCCATTGTGTCATTCTTAACCCTTTGCACCCTCATAGCTTAGCTCCTACTTATGAGTGAGAACATACGATGCTTGGTTTTCCATTCCTGAGTTACTTCACTTAAAATAATAGTCTCCAATCTCATCCAGGTTGCTGTGAATGCCATTAATTCATTATTTTTATGGCTGAGTAATATTCCATCATATATAGATTTAATCATTATAAATTGTTATCATTATAAATTATATGCAAATATATATATATCACAGCTTCTTTATCCACTCATTGATTGATGGCATTTGAGTTGGTTCCACATTTTTGTGATTGCAAATTGTGCTGCTATAAACATGTGTGTGTAAGCATCTTTTTCATATAGACTTCTTTTCCTCTGTGTAGATAACCAGTAGTAGGATTGCTGGATCAAATGGTAGCTCTACTTTTATTCTTTAAGGAATCTCCACACTGTTTTCCATAGCAGTTGTACTAGTTTACATTCCCGCTAGCAATGCAGAAGTGTTCCCTGTTTGCCACATCCACGCCAACATCTACTATTTTTTAATTTTTTATTACGGCCATTCTTGCAGGAGTAAGGTGGTATCACATTGTGGTTTTGATTTGCATTTCCCTCATCATTAGTGATACCGAGCATTTTTTCATGTTTGTTGGCCATTTGTAGATTTTCTTTTGAGAACTGTCTATTCATGTTCTTAGCCCACTTTTTGATAGGGTTTTTTTCTTGTACCTTATGTGAACTAAAACCCCATTAGGTTCCAAATTTCCTTAATATAAGAGTGTTGGCAAAACTACAAAGGCAATATACATATTTTCCCTAGCACTGGTCAAACGTTTTCTGAACTACTGTGTCCAGTTCTAAAACTCATAAGAGAAAATTTCAATAACTAGAATTTTAGTAATGAGGGTGGGGAAAATCTTTAAGCCTATTCACATATGCAGATATGGAAACTCTTAGACTTAGGGTAAGTTTTGTTTTTTATAATTGTGAAAAAAATTATACTATGGTATAATCATACTATAGTACTATA